CGCCCCCCCCCCACCTTAAAAAAATTATTTAGAAAAAAATTGCAAGAAGTTGGAAAAGACTATAAGGTGTTTATAGGCCTATACTCGTAAGAATAACACATTGTGTTGTTGTAATATACAAACAAAAATGGATTAGTTGAAGACTTTGACAAACTACGAGTGTTATAATTATATGAATGTATTCATTGTAAATACTAAAAATAAAAACAATAACAACATCATCTGGTCTCACCTTCCAGCTTTTGTAATGATCATCTCGGTTCCGATGGAATGAAACTTCTTCCATAAATCGCGATTTTCAAGCGTAACTTTGATATCTTTACTTGGCATTGATGGGATGCCCAGGTCAGGCGGACGGGGTGCTGTCGTCGACATCATCTGATGCATCGACCGCCCTGGATCCATGCTTGAAGCCGACAGCGGAGAGAAATCGCCAAAATGTGCTCCATGATCTAAGAAATGCATACGCAAACATGGCATTATATAACTCCAGTAGTAATACGCATGATACAGTTACAATATGCCTTACAAATGAGTTAGGCATTTAATAGTTTGCAATATCAAGACGCAGGTTTTTTTTTTTGTTTACATTTTAAGTAACTACTCTACTTAATCTTGAAATTTCAAACGAAAAGCGTAAAACAAAAATCAAAACTCTTATTTTGATAGGATTCAGATAAATGCTTAAAAGCCTATAAAAGAATCCGTCCTTCTGCTAAACCTCTCCTTTTAGTCGACAAACTGTTGGTTACTATCCTGACCCTGTGTATATTCATTGCCTAATAGAGTCAACAAAGAATCCAACCCTGGACATGTACCCCCGGAGGTGGGATTTCAATAATAATTGAGGTAAGCTCGTGGTCCAAACTGCTAAAACTAAAGGTATTTTCGGATAGTCTCTTTGTATAAAACGAAAATGTTGATGATAACAATATACACATAGGCCTAGGCCTAGTTCTTCATTACTATGTTTAGCCTACAGACACATTATTATATTAGGAGGCCTATTGTCTTTAGTTTCTGCTGCATTTAGTTTAAATATAATTTTGTAATCAATGCTGACAACATTGTACTTTATTTCAAATTATTAGATTTATCAGTTATTATAGCTGTTTCTTATAAAAGGCATATTAAGTGGATATACACGCCGCGAAATTATGTTGTGGACTTTCGTTGTCCCTAGCATTTGAGCACATAACTGTGCATAACAACATATAATAATGCTTGTTTTTATAGTGTTTTTTTTTATAATAAAATTTTATAGCCCGCCTGAAAGGTTGTGTTCACCTACATCCAGTGTTCATTTAATTGGTAAATTCGGCATTTGTAAGCCAGGACAACGGTTCTTTTAAAACTAAATCAAGTGGTTTGGCTACCGCTGTGTTGGAAATGCTTATAGAAATATGTCCATTCACGTGCGACAGAAACCAGCGCAAAACAAAAATATACTAAGCTGATGAAAGTCTACATGGTACTCTATTGTAGGCATGCAAGAAGAAGAAATACCAGACCTAGCAGAAATGGCTTCATTTTAAAAAATACAATTGCTCTGTACCTAATATTTGCATTAATTTGATGATTAACGATTGTTCGACATTTGGTGCTTATCAATACCAATTTTAAACTACACATTTAAAGTGTACATATTCATTAAAATTTTTATAAAAAAAGGATGCATTATAAAAATAAAATAAAATAATAAAGACATACTTATAGCTAGGAAAACAAATACAAATTTGTAATACTGGTTTATATTAAATATAAAAACTTAATTGGACAATTAAAAATTCTTTATTGTGTTTTATTTAAACAAAAACACGACATCGTACCAATGACTTATGATATAAAGGTGAAAATGTATGCACTTTGGGTGGTTAAATTTGTTCAGTATTTGGTATAGCGAGAGTGTATAACCGTATTATCTTGTGCTGACACTGTGTCAGTTTTGACAGTTCGAACTGTTTTAACAGTAACCGAGTCATTCCCGCGACACCTTTACCCTCAGTGACAAATTTAACAACACCAAATAAAAAGTTCTAAAGACTGAATCACACCAGGTTTTCAAAAAGATCTCACCTGTAAAATTCGGAGTTGGCTGGTGCATTGAAATACTGGGGTAAGTAAAACTGCGAGGTGGAGGAGGGGGAACCATTCCATTCATTGCAAAGGCCCTAGCCTGTCGGCTTAGTATATCGTCATTCTCGTACATCATCTTCGATATTCGTTGAAGAAGCTCTAAAGTTCAGGCCTAAGGTACGGGTGACGATTCTAACGCGTACAGATTGTGCGTCGACGTGCAATAATCCACTAGGCAGAGAATATCTTCCGGGTATCAAAACTTAAAAATCGCAGTCGTGAGTATCACCTCTTAGGCCAATGTCTGACTGTGATATACTTACTGCTCACCAATTACTAAGCTATTATTTTGACAATTGTAAATCACACAGGGATGTATTCACTGCATGATAAAAACACAGTACCATGAATCGGAAACTCATTGACCAATCACCGTCGTGTACCAATTTGATGCTCCGCCTACTTTTTATTTCACTTGAATAAGCCAAAACTTACGCGCTCTGGGCTAGGCTTAGCCATCATACACAATTATACCAATATCAAGATTTAGTAATAAAAATTATCAATTTGAAATTTCTTTTCGATTTTCATAAATTGTGTAAAATTAAAGGAGTGAAATCAGTGATGGATAAATGCCGACTTTTGCTTGTTTACCTTACGCGTTGTATTTCATGCTTCGTTCAATCGAATTCACAGTAGATTTCTGTTTTTTTTTTTTTTTATCGTTAGTAAACAGTTTAATTTCGATAACATAATTATCGTTTTTAGACGGCAATGGAAGTATATCTCCCTTTCAAATTGTGTTTAAAATGCCTAATAGATCAAAATGCTATGAATTTTAGTTTATCTAAAAATTAGTACGACAATAGGCCTATATATATATTTATGTTTAATTATTTATTTCATATACTTTGTTTGTGTTTGTTATATCTATATTTGTGTTTGTTATATCTATATATTTATCTGATGTCAGCTTTTAATTGGAGGTTTTTATCTCTGTTAGTTGGGATTGAAATAAAATAAAAAAATGAAAAATAACAAATATAGGCCTAGTACGAATGCAGCAATGGATCGAATAAAATAAATTATACTAATAAACGACATGTTTTGACGAGTCACACGTTATCATCAGACAATAGTGCTTTTTAAAAAAATCTATAATAGTTCGGGCGAACAACACAGCAAAAAAAAAAGAAAAAAGAAAGAAAACGATAGGCCTACATGAAAAAACAAATACCGTGGTAATACAATAATAGCATCTTCCACAGCCAGGGAGAGACAAACTTATTCTACTACCTGATTATATACTACCGGTCAGATGTAGGCCTATGGCAAAATTTACCAAGTTAAGTCATGTATATTATAGCTGAGTACTGCGGTAAGTCATGTATATAACAATTAGCGAGTGATATTGTATTGATTTGTTTGTTTGTTAAGGGAAGGATTTCCCCCAAGCAATGTAAAGGGCTTCTGTAATTTTGAGTTAATTATTGTGTGCGGAAACAAGACCTCAGAATTTAATAGCATAACGTCATGCACATACACTTGGACTTGTACCCTGATTGATCATACATTTAAAACCAATAACACTTGGGTAGGTTTTGATTACAACTTAAAGACCTTATAATTACTTTTTTTTTTAAATTGTTATTCAATTACATTAATTAATAAAATAATACATAATTATCTGAACAAAAAACCCGTCGGCCACCATTTTTTTCAAAATTAAAGAAGCCCTTCACATTGCTTTTGGAAATATTTCCCGTAACAAACAAATAACTCATTACAATATTACTCTCTCCTTCTAATTCTTATATACTGTATTCAGCTATAATATAGTCCTACATAACTTACTTTTGGGTTTGGCTATTTGACCGGTAGTCTAAACCGATAAGCATTATTACATGAAACAGGTCGTGTATTAATTTAATATACATGTATATATATATATTATTTATAATTTTTGTTATATATATATATTATATATATATACATATATACATAATTGAAAGTATTGAAAATGTAGAACTTGTAGAACTGGGTATTATCACTCTACAGACTGTTTCATGCATGAAACAGTCTGTAGAGTGATAATACCCAGTTCTACAAGTTCTACATTTTCAATACTTTCAATATATATATAATATATATATATATAATATATATATATAACAAAAGAATATAGGAAACGAATACCATGTATAGACTTCAAAAA